CATTTCCGTGACAGAAAATTGTCACGCAAAAGTCACGGAAAAGTCACATTTCTGTGACATTTCTCACTTGTCTTTTCCGCGATGCATCCCGTTGTTCCTCCTCTCTTCCCTCCTATCCCGTCGTTCTTCCTCTCTCCCCTCCTATCCCGTCGTTCCCCCTCTCTCCCTTTCTCTCCCGTCGGCCCCCTTGTCCCCAGTCCCGACACCATTCCTCTTTTCGCCTTTCATTCATTTCTTTATTTCTATCTTCTTCGCCTGATTTCACCTGTGTGTGCCATGGATTTTGCTTGATCATGCCAGTGTTTGCGCAGGAGTTTGCTATTTTTTTCCTGTGTGCGCGCTGGATTTTGCCTGTGTGTGCGCTGTTTTTTGCACATAGGAATTCTTGTGAAGTTACGACGGCTGCTCTGTTGAATGTGGGATTGCAGCCTTGCGCCAAATTCGTACAGGAATCTGGGTGAAAATCGCCACCAATCAGATTTGTAAACAAGTACATCATGTTTTCCGTTCAGATCAAGACTCGTTTGGGATGAAAACGTAAAAACGCACAGGCCGTCAACTTTTCAAACGTTCATAACAACTTGTGTTTTCAAGTGGACCCAACTAGAAGGGGGGGGTCACTATTTTAGCTGCTGGCTTTAAGCTTGTTATTGCGTGCTGTGTTAATAACAACTGAAACAGGGTTTTGCGAATTGGTACACTGATGCCTCAGGGTAGTCGTTTTAATACATGCAAATACCCTGACGCATCAGGTTTTCCACAACGGGTAACCCTGAAAATCAGGTTTTTGAACAGGTGCTAGACTGATCGTAAGGGTTGGTCAAAACAAAAAATGAGCCCTGGTTGGGTGCAGGTTGGGCAAAGGAAAACCGAAGACGATGCGAGGTTGATTCGGCAGCAATCAAACCGGCCGAACGTGCACTTCCAAAAGTCGGGGTTGTAAGCGAAAGAGTAAACCCCAGTAAGGAAAAAAGGTTTTTCCTTACACATAATATACACGCCCTTACATTTTTATTTTATTACATTCCTGGGTTACATTGAGGCTGGTGTCAATATGGAGTATGAATCTCCGACTGTAGCATTGACTCCGGAGTTGAAGTCGGCTGGTGCGGGGACGTCGTTTCGAGCTCGCAGACTCTTATCATCAGCCTCGGACGCCTCAGCTTGCCATGCTTGGTGAACTTTCAGTTCGTTTAGAGCGGTTGACTACGATGTTGTGCGTTCCGGAATGGCATGTTCCGCTTTGAACCTCTACACCAGTCTACAGAGTGATTCATGAGCTGTAAGCACTCCACGCATGACACGCCCTCACTGGAATCATGGGCTCGCGCTCGCACTGGGGATTTCGATCAGACACAACACAACCAGAAAATTGGGGGTCGAAACAAGTAGGAGTGCACTCGCATTGCGTAGACACTGCAGAGCAGAAAATGATCGGGAGCATTCTGCTGAGCTGGCTGAGGAGACTGGGAGCTGTGCATGGCGATGGTGATCATAAATCAGGATCAAAAGCCGCACAAGCGGCAGACACTTTGCCTTCCCACGGCGCGAAAGCGGGTTACGAGGCGCCATTCAGTGAATGCGAGAAAGGCGCGGTGAAATGGCGGCCGTGGATCGTTCGCTGCGCGGCGGGGCTTTGGCTCTCATTCTCGTGCTGTGCTTGATCGTCATCAACGAGGTGAGCGCATACGAAACTGTTCGGTAGCACCTCAAGAATCTTTGGCCGTAACTCGAGTGAGCTCTCTGTCGTGCTCGTGCTATGGAATCGCCGCGTCTCAATTCGAGTGAGTGCATGGTCGCCGTGCACGCGTGGTGACGGCCTTTTGAGTGGGTGGACCCGCCCTTTTGGCTTTCTGGATCCTGGCTCGCGGAAAAGGAAATGTCACGTCTCCGTGCCATTTTGCCCTTGCCTCCGCCGCTACGCGCTCGTTTCACCTCCTCGCCTCGTCTCACCCGGTCGATTGGAGTTTTCTCTGGTGGTATCTTCGGGTGCCAGGATGGTAAATTCCAAAGCTTTTCGAGGTTCCTTCCGAGAGTCCGAAATGAGTTCAAAAGGAGCGGCGATGCAGATTCGGACGCGTACGCGACAGATCCTCGTCTACTTAGAGAAAATTGAATGAATTTAATAGGGATTGTACATCGATATCATACAACAATTTCTGTTGAAACTCAAACGAACTAAATCAATCTTAATTACAACTTGTAATCACCTTGTGTCAACGACCGTATCTGTTCAGAGGCGCATGACTCAAACGAAACCCATGTTCGCCTGCAGAGGCGCTCTCACCTGTAGTGTCGACTCGAGGGATATTTCCGTGGCTAAGAAAGGAATTTCCGCGCGCCGTGATAACGACAACCAGCGAGAAAAAAAAAGTCTGGGTTGGATATTTACGTTGAAGATGCACATTTAAGACGAGGAAGGCGAGGTGTCATAAACGTGGAAGAGGCGAAGGGAGGGGTATGGTTGAGATTGGGGATAAGGCTGAGTGGCTGGCTTTCTTTCCTGGGACGTGTGATTGGGTTGGAGGTTGAGAATAGGTTGGTGATTGGTGAGGGATTTTTGGCCAATCATCTTCCTTCATTGTTGAGTTCTTGGGCCCAGTTCGGTAGGCATTATGGCCATTTTCGCCATTATGGGTATTTTCAACGGGCCCCCCAAAAATAGCGCGTGGGCATTTCCAGAAACAACTTCGAAACTGGAATGTAGCTGCAGTGCACCTTCGGAAAAATGGTATGAGTGTTCGGTTGGCATTAATTGGGTGTAGATTGATGGCATCAAACGAGATTCCGGGTTTCGCAGAAGGTGTTCGAAAGTTGCCTTGATGGATCGCGTCCTCATGTGATTGGCTGGCATATTTGACCAGTCACTTTTGATTGCCCCGAATCACTGATACTCCGCATGGTGCGGGGCCTCGAGGCCGCATGGTGCGGCGGGTCAGAAAATGGGCACTTTGCCAGAGAAACTGGGTTCGTGGAAGATTCGGGCAGTTGAAAACGCCTGCAAAAAAAAAGGTGTTCGGGAGGCATTCCATTATTGTCTGGCTCGGCGATGATCCGCTTATATCGAGCCAAGATAACCCTTCACGCGCTTATCAAAGAAGGTTCCAGGGTGATCGGTTTACTGTAGCCCACCCGCCGAGGCCCTTTTTTGAATGCCTACCGAACTGGTAGAGGTTGGACATCTCACAACTTTGATTCGGTACAGTAGTTGGAATTGGTGCTCCGCACCGTGTGACCCGGAGGTGACACAGTCCTGAAAGAGTTCGTGCCAATCATACACAGCCCTGTTTCGGAATGAATAAGTGGTTTGGATCCGAAACGGCTCATTCATTCCGAACCGACTATTGGCGAGGTGGTACTGTACCGGAAAGGCTCATTCACTGCTCTTTCCGGACCTTAGCGCATTCGGACCCCCCATTCCAGACCTTTCAAATTTGGAAGTGTTTTATGCCGTTCCTGTTTCCGCTGAACGCTGCTTGCGTGTAAAATTGCATGCATGTAAATCTCCTTCCCTGTAAATCTGCTTGCGTGTAAATCTGCGTGAAATCTTTGATTGCGTCTGATTGCGTGAAATTCTGCTTGCGTTTTAATTTGCTTGCACCGCATAAAGCTGCTTCCATGTCACGTCAGCGTAACGAGACTAAGCATGCCGATTCAATGTTGTGTTCTGCTTGCCCTCACTCTGCCATGCTGCTGCTGGCCTACACCAACGACTCTGAATTCCGTTCCATTTTCTTCTCTGATTCTCTTGTCACCTCTACTCTTCAACACACCCACCTCTCCTCGCCATACTTGGTTCGTTTCCAAACCTCAGGCTTGGCTGGACAGCCTACAGCTTTGGAATTTCTTTCCACTGGAGGGGCTGCCGGCAGTGGAGTGGGAGGAGGCCCCCCCACGGCCAGGGTGCATTCTGACTCTCGACTCGCGCTACAGCCCTGAGGGCGTGCAGGCCGTGGAAGCGGCTGTAGCGCGGCTGCTGAGGGAGCTGGGGGTGGCGGCGGAGGAGGTGGGGGGAGGGGGGAGTGGGGGAGAATGGGGAGGGGGAGAAAGGATCGGTGGAGAGGGAATAAGGGGAGAGGGGTTAGGCAGAGAAAGGTTAGGGGGAGAGGAAGTAGAAAGAAAGGGTATCGGGGCTGGGGTGGGCGAGGGGGGACAGGAAGGGCGGAGGGTGGGTGTGGCGGGACGGGATGAGGGGGAGGTGGAAGGTGGGGAGGTGGGGAGGAGGGCGAGGGATGGTAAAAGGAGTCTTTTGAAGGAAGGGGCGGTAAAGTGGGAGGGAAGGTGGCATGGAGGATTGAGGAGGAGGCGGCTGAAGGGAGGAGAGGAGGAGGGCATGGGGGAAGGGGAGGGGGAGGGGGGGCTGAACGGGGAGGGCAGGAAGGGGGAGGGGGAAAAGGGGGAGGGCGAGGGTGAGGGGAACGCAGAGGGTAAGGACGAGGGGAAAGGGGATGAGAAGGAGAAAGATGAGGGTTCGAAGGAGAAGGAAGAAGGGGAAGGGAGGGGCGGAGAGGCGATGGCGGAGGTGTGGCGGCGGTTCTACTCGGGATTGCCCAAGGTGGTGGATGCGGAGGGGCACGAGAACATGTGGAAATTCCCCATCTGGGTCGCCCTGGCCGTCAACATGTGCGTGCTGCAGTAGGCATGTGCGTGTGTGCTGCAGTGTCAACATGTGCGTGTGTGCTGCAGTGTCAACATGTGCGTGTGTGCTGCAGTGTCAACATGTGCGTGTGTGCTGCAGTGTCAACATGTGCGTGCTGCAGTAGGCATGTGCGTGTGTGCTGCAGTGTCAACATGTGCGTGTGTGCTGCAGTGTCAACATGTGCGTGCTGCAGTAGGCATGTGCGTGTGTGCTGCAGTGTCAACATGTGCGTGTGTGCTGCAGTGTCAACATGTGCGTGCTGCAGTAGGCATGTGCGTGTGTGCTGCAGTGTCAACATGTGCGTGTGTGCTGCAGTGTCAACATGTGCGTGCTGCAGTAGGCATGTGCGTGTGTGCTGCAGTGTCAACATGTGCGTGCGTGCTACAGTAGGCATGTGCGTGCGTGCTACAGTAGGCATGTGCGTGCGTGCTGCAGTAGGCATGTGCGTGCGTGCTACAGTAGGCATGTGCGTGCGTGCTACAGTAGGCATGTGCGTGCGTGCTACAGTAGGCATGTGCGTGCGTGCTGCAGTAGGCATGTGCGTGCGTGCTACAGTAGGCATGTGCGTGCGTGCTACAGTAGGCATGTGCGTGCGTGCTACAGTAGGCATGTGCGTGCGTGCTACAGTAGGCATGTGCGTGCGTGCTACAGTAGGCATGTGCGTGCGTGCTACAGTAGGCATGTGCGTGCGTGCTACAGTAGGCATGTGCGTGCGTGCTGCAGTAGGCATGTGCGTGCGTGCTACAGTAGGCATGTGCGTGCGTGCTACAGTAGGCATGTGCGTGCGTGCTACAGTAGGCATGTGCGTGCGTGCTACAGTAGGCATGTGCGTGCGTGCTACAGTAGGCATGTGCGTGCGTGCTGCAGTAGGCATGTGCGTGCGTGCTACAGTAGGCATGTGCGTGCGTGCTACAGTAGGCATGTGCGTGCGTGCTACAGTAGGCATGTGCGTGCGTGCTCCAGTAGGCATGTGCGTGCGTGCTCCAGTAGGCATGTGCGTGCGTGCTGCAGTAGGCATGTGCGTGCGTGCTACAGTAGGCATGTGCGTGCGTGCTACAGTAGGCATGTGCGTGCGTGCTGCAGTAGGCATGTGCGTGCGTGCTGCAGTAGGCATGTGCGTGCGTGCTGCAGTAGGCATGTGCGTGCGTGCTGCAGTAGGCATGTGCGTGCGTGCTACAGTAGGCATGTGCGTGCGTGCTACAGTAGGCATGTGCGTGCGTGCTACAGTAGGCATGTGCGTGCGTGCTACAGTAGGCATGTGCGTGCGTGCTACAGTAGGCATGTGCGTGCGTGCTGCAGTAGGCATGTGCGTGCGTGCTACAGTAGGCATGTGCGTGCGTGCTACAGTAGGCATGTGCGTGCGTGCTGCAGTAGGCATGTGCGTGCGTGCTACAGTAGGCATGTGCGTGCGTGCTACAGTAGGCATGTGCGTGCGTGCTGCAGTAGGCATGTGCGTGCGTGCTGCAGTAGGCATGTGCGTGCGTGCTACAGTAGGCATGTGCGTGCGTGCTACAGTAGGCATGTGCGTGCGTGCTACAGTAGGCATGTGCGTGCGTGCTACAGTAGGCATGTGCGTGCGTGCTACAGTAGGCATGTGCGTGCGTGCTGCAGTAGGCATGTGCGTGCGTGCTACAGTAGGCATGTGCGTGCGTGCTACAGTAGGCATGTGCGTGCGTGCTGCAGTAGGCATGTGCGTGCGTGCTACAGTAGGCATGTGCGTGCGTGCTGCAGTAGGCATGTGCGTGCGTGCTGCAGTAGGCATGTGCGTGCGTGCTACAGTAGGCATGTGCGTGCGTGCTGCAGTAGGCATGTGCGTGCGTGCTACAGTAGGCATGTGCGTGCGTGCTACAGTAGGCATGTGCGTGCGTGCTGCAGTAGGCATGTGCGTGCGTGCTACAGTAGGCATGTGCGTGCGTGCTACAGTAGGCATGTGCGTGCGTGCTACAGTAGGCATGTGCGTGCGTGCTACAGTAGGCATGTGCGTGCGTGCTACAGTAGGCATGTGCGTGCGTGCTGCAGTAGGCATGTGCGTGCGTGCTACAGTAGGCATGTGCGTGCGTGCTACAGTAGGCATGTGCGTGCGTGCTGCAGTAGGCATGTGCGTGCGTGCTACAGTAGGCATGTGCGTGCGTGCTGCAGTAGGCATGTGCGTGCGTGCTGCAGTAGGCATGTGCGTGCGTGCTACAGTAGGCATGTGCGTGCGTGCTGCAGTAGGCATGTGCGTGCGTGCTACAGTAGGCATGTGCGTGCGTGCTACAGTAGGCATGTGCGTGCGTGCTGCAGTAGGCATGTGCGTGCGTGCTACAGTAGGCATGTGCGTGCGTGCTGCAGTAGGCATGTGCGTGCGTGCTACAGTAGACATGTGCGTGCGTGCTACAGTAGGCATGTGCGTGCGTGCTACAGTAGGCATGTGCGTGCGTGCTACAGTAGGCATGTGCGTGCGTGCTGCAGTAGGCATGTGCGTGCGTGCTACAGTAGGCATGTGCGTGCGTGCTACAGTAGGCATGTGCGTGCGTGCTACAGTAGGCATGTGCGTGCGTGCTACAGTAGGCATGTGCGTGCGTGCTACAGTAGGCATGTGCGTGCGTGCTGCAGTAGGCATGTGCGTGCGTGCTACAGTAGGCATGTGCGTGCGTGCTACAGTAGGCATGTGCGTGCGTGCTGCAGTAGGCATGTGCGTGCGTGCTACAGTAGGCATGTGCGTGCGTGCTGCAGTAGGCATGTGCGTGCGTGCTGCAGTAGGCATGTGCGTGCGTGCTACAGTAGGCATGTGCGTGCGTGCTGCAGTAGGCATGTGCGTGCGTGCTACAGTAGGCATGTGCGTGCGTGCTACAGTAGGCATGTGCGTGCGTGCTGCAGTAGGCATGTGCGTGCGTGCTACAGTAGGCATGTGCGTGCGTGCTACAGTAGGCATGTGCGTGCGTGCTACAGTAGGCATGTGCGTGCGTGCTACAGTAGGCATGTGCGTGCGTGCTACAGTAGGCATGTGCGTGCGTGCTGCAGTAGGCATGTGCGTGCGTGCTACAGTAGGCATGTGCGTGCGTGCTACAGTAGGCATGTGCGTGCGTGCTGCAGTAGGCATGTGCGTGCGTGCTACAGTAGGCATGTGCGTGCGTGCTGCAGTAGGCATGTGCGTGCGTGCTGCAGTAGGCATGTGCGTGCGTGCTACAGTAGGCATGTGCGTGCGTGCTGCAGTAGGCATGTGCGTGCGTGCTACAGTAGGCATGTGCGTGCGTGCTACAGTAGGCATGTGCGTGCGTGCTGCAGTAGGCATGTGCGTGCGTGCTACAGTAGGCATGTGCGTGCGTGCTACAGTAGGCATGTGCGTGCGTGCTGCAGTAGGCATGTGCGTGCGTGCTACAGTAGGCATGTGCGTGCGTGCTGCAGTAGGCATGTGCGTGCGTGCTGCAGTAGGCATGTGCGTGCGTGCTACAGTAGGCATGTGCGTGCGTGCTGCAGTAGGCATGTGCGTGCGTGCTACAGTAGGCATGTGCGTGCGTGCTACAGTAGGCATGTGCGTGCGTGCTGCAGTAGGCATGTGCGTGCGTGCTACAGTAGGCATGTGCGTGCGTGCTGCAGTAGGCATGTGCGTGCGTGCTACAGTAGACATGTGCGTGCGTGCTACAGTAGGCATGTGCGTGCGTGCTACAGTAGGCATGTGCGTGCGTGCTACAGTAGGCATGTGCGTGCGTGCTACAGTAGGCATGTGCGTGCGTGCTACAGTAGGCATGTGCGTGCGTGCTGCAGTAGGCATGTGCGTGCGTGCTACAGTAGGCATGTGCGTGCGTGCTACAGTAGGCATGTGCGTGCGTGCTACAGTAGGCATGTGCGTGCGTGCTACAGTAGGCATGTGCGTGCGTGCTACAGTAGGCATGTGCGTGCGTGCTACAGTAGGCATGTGCGTGCGTGCTACAGTAGGCATGTGCGTGCGTGCTACAGTAGGCATGTGCGTGCGTGCTACAGTAGGCATGTGCGTGCGTGCTACAGTAGGCATGTGCGTGCGTGCTACAGTAGGCATGTGCGTGCGTGCTGCAGTAGGCATGTGCGTGCGTGCTACAGTAGGCATGTGCGTGCGTGCTACAGTAGGCATGTGCGTGCGTGCTACAGTAGGCATGTGCGTGCGTGCTACAGTAGGCATGTGCGTGCGTGCTACAGTAGGCATGTGCGTGCGTGCTGCAGTAGGCATGTGCGTGCGTGCTACAGTAGGCATGTGCGTGCGTGCTACAGTAGGCATGTGCGTGCGTGCTACAGTAGGCATGTGCGTGCGTGCTCCAGTAGGCATGTGCGTGCGTGCTCCAGTAGGCATGTGCGTGCGTGCTGCAGTAGGCATGTGCGTGCGTGCTACAGTAGGCATGTGCGTGCGTGCTACAGTAGGCATGTGCGTGCGTGCTGCAGTAGGCATGTGCGTGCGTGCTGCAGTAGGCATGTGCGTGCGTGCTGCAGTAGGCATGTGCGTGCGTGCTGCAGTAGGCATGTGCGTGCGTGCTACAGTAGGCATGTGCGTGCGTGCTACAGTAGGCATGTGCGTGCGTGCTACAGTAGGCATGTGCGTGCGTGCTACAGTAGGCATGTGCGTGCGTGCTACAGTAGGCATGTGCGTGCGTGCTGCAGTAGGCATGTGCGTGCGTGCTACAGTAGGCATGTGCGTGCGTGCTACAGTAGGCATGTGCGTGCGTGCTGCAGTAGGCATGTGCGTGCGTGCTACAGTAGGCATGTGCGTGCGTGCTACAGTAGGCATGTGCGTGCGTGCTGCAGTAGGCATGTGCGTGCGTGCTGCAGTAGGCATGTGCGTGCGTGCTACAGTAGGCATGTGCGTGCGTGCTACAGTAGGCATGTGCGTGCGTGCTACAGTAGGCATGTGCGTGCGTGCTACAGTAGGCATGTGCGTGCGTGCTACAGTAGGCATGTGCGTGCGTGCTGCAGTAGGCATGTGCGTGCGTGCTACAGTAGGCATGTGCGTGCGTGCTACAGTAGGCATGTGCGTGCGTGCTGCAGTAGGCATGTGCGTGCGTGCTACAGTAGGCATGTGCGTGCGTGCTGCAGTAGGCATGTGCGTGCGTGCTGCAGTAGGCATGTGCGTGCGTGCTACAGTAGGCATGTGCGTGCGTGCTGCAGTAGGCATGTGCGTGCGTGCTACAGTAGGCATGTGCGTGCGTGCTACAGTAGGCATGTGCGTGCGTGCTGCAGTAGGCATGTGCGTGCGTGCTACAGTAGGCATGTGCGTGCGTGCTGCAGTAGGCATGTGCGTGCGTGCTACAGTAGACATGTGCGTGCGTGCTACAGTAGGCATGTGCGTGCGTGCTACAGTAGGCATGTGCGTGCGTGCTACAGTAGGCATGTGCGTGCGTGCTACAGTAGGCATGTGCGTGCGTGCTACAGTAGGCATGTGCGTGCGTGCTGCAGTAGGCATGTGCGTGCGTGCTACAGTAGGCATGTGCGTGCGTGCTACAGTAGGCATGTGCGTGCGTGCTACAGTAGGCATGTGCGTGCGTGCTACAGTAGGCATGTGCGTGCGTGCTACAGTAGGCATGTGCGTGCGTGCTACAGTAGGCATGTGCGTGCGTGCTACAGTAGGCATGTGCGTGCGTGCTACAGTAGGCATGTGCGTGCGTGCTACAGTAGGCATGTGCGTGCGTGCTACAGTAGGCATGTGCGTGCGTGCTACAGTAGGCATGTGCGTGCGTGCTACAGTAGGCATGTGCGTGCGTGCTGCAGTAGGCATGTGCGTGCGTGCTACAGTAGGCATGTGCGTGCGTGCTACAGTAGGCATGTGCGTGCGTGCTACAGTAGGCATGTGCGTGCGTGCTACAGTAGGCATGTGCGTGCGTGCTACAGTAGGCATGTGCGTGCGTGCTGCAGTAGGCATGTGCGTGCGTGCTACAGTAGGCATGTGCGTGCGTGCTACAGTAGGCATGTGCGTGCGTGCTACAGTAGGCATGTGCGTGCGTGCTCCAGTAGGCATGTGCGTGCGTGCTCCAGTAGGCATGTGCGTGCGTGCTGCAGTAGGCATGTGCGTGCGTGCTACAGTAGGCATGTGCGTGCGTGCTACAGTAGGCATGTGCGTGCGTGCTGCAGTAGGCATGTGCGTGCGTGCTGCAGTAGGCATGTGCGTGCGTGCTGCAGTAGGCATGTGCGTGCGTGCTGCAGTAGGCATGTGCGTGCGTGCTACAGTAGGCATGTGCGTGCGTGCTACAGTAGGCATGTGCGTGCGTGCTACAGTAGGCATGTGCGTGCGTGCTACAGTAGGCATGTGCGTGCGTGCTACAGTAGGCATGTGCGTGCGTGCTGCAGTAGGCATGTGCGTGCGTGCTACAGTAGGCATGTGCGTGCGTGCTACAGTAGGCATGTGCGTGCGTGCTGCAGTAGGCATGTGCGTGCGTGCTACAGTAGGCATGTGCGTGCGTGCTACAGTAGGCATGTGCGTGCGTGCTGCAGTAGGCATGTGCGTGCGTGCTGCAGTAGGCATGTGCGTGCGTGCTACAGTAGGCATGTGCGTGCGTGCTACAGTAGGCATGTGCGTGCGTGCTACAGTAGGCATGTGCGTGCGTGCTACAGTAGGCATGTGCGTGCGTGCTGCAGTAGGCATGTGCGTGCGTGCTACAGTAGGCATGTGCGTGCGTGCTACAGTAGGCATGTGCGTGCGTGCTGCAGTAGGCATGTGCGTGCGTGCTACAGTAGGCATGTGCGTGCGTGCTGCAGTAGGCATGTGCGTGCGTGCTGCAGTAGGCATGTGCGTGCGTGCTACAGTAGGCATGTGCGTGCGTGCTGCAGTAGGCATGTGCGTGCGTGCTACAGTAGGCATGTGCGTGCGTGCTACAGTAGGCATGTGCGTGCGTGCTACAGTAGGCATGTGCGTGCGTGCTGCAGTAGGCATGTGCGTGCGTGCTACAGTAGGCATGTGCGTGCGTGCTACAGTAGGCATGTGCGTGCGTGCTACAGTAGGCATGTGCGTGCGTGCTACAGTAGGCATGTGCGTGCGTGCTACAGTAGGCATGTGCGTGCGTGCTACAGTAGGCATGTGCGTGCGTGCTACAGTAGGCATGTGCGTGCGTGCTACAGTAGGCATGTGCGTGCGTGCTACAGTAGGCATGTGCGTGCGTGCTACAGTAGGCATGTGCGTGCGTGCTACAGTAGGCATGTGCGTGCGTGCTGCAGTAGGCATGTGCGTGCGTGCTACAGTAGGCATGTGCGTGCGTGCTACAGTAGGCATGTGCGTGCGTGCTACAGTAGGCATGTGCGTGCGTGCTACAGTAGGCATGTGCGTGCGTGCTACAGTAGGCATGTGCGTGCGTGCTGCAGTAGGCATGTGCGTGCGTGCTACAGTAGGCATGTGCGTGCGTGCTACAGTAGGCATGTGCGTGCGTGCTACAGTAGGCATGTGCGTGCGTGCTCCAGTAGGCATGTGCGTGCGTGCTCCAGTAGGCATGTGCGTGCGTGCTGCAGTAGGCATGTGCGTGCGTGCTACAGTAGGCATGTGCGTGCGTGCTACAGTAGGCATGTGCGTGCGTGCTGCAGTAGGCATGTGCGTGCGTGCTGCAGTAGGCATGTGCGTGCGTGCTGCAGTAGGCATGTGCGTGCGTGCTGCAGTAGGCATGTGCGTGCGTGCTACAGTAGGCATGTGCGTGCGTGCTACAGTAGGCATGTGCGTGCGTGCTACAGTAGGCATGTGCGTGCGTGCTACAGTAGGCATGTGCGTGCGTGCTACAGTAGGCATGTGCGTGCGTGCTGCAGTAGGCATGTGCGTGCGTGCTACAGTAGGCATGTGCGTGCGTGCTACAGTAGGCATGTGCGTGCGTGCTGCAGTAGGCATGTGCGTGCGTGCTACAGTAGGCATGTGCGTGCGTGCTACAGTAGGCATGTGCGTGCGTGCTGCAGTAGGCATGTGCGTGCGTGCTGCAGTAGGCATGTGCGTGCGTGCTACAGTAGGCATGTGCGTGCGTGCTACAGTAGGCATGTGCGTGCGTGCTACAGTAGGCATGTGCGTGCGTGCTACAGTAGGCATGTGCGTGCGTGCTACAGTAGGCATGTGCGTGCGTGCTGCAGTAGGCATGTGCGTGCGTGCTACAGTAGGCATGTGCGTGCGTGCTACAGTAGGCATGTGCGTGCGTGCTGCAGTAGGCATGTGCGTGCGTGCTACAGTAGGCATGTGCGTGCGTGCTGCAGTAGGCATGTGCGTGCGTGCTGCAGTAGGCATGTGCGTGCGTGCTACAGTAGGCATGTGCGTGCGTGCTGCAGTAGGCATGTGCGTGCGTGCTACAGTAGGCATGTGCGTGCGTGCTACAGTAGGCATGTGCGTGCGTGCTGCAGTAGGCATGTGCGTGCGTGCTACAGTAGGCATGTGCGTGCGTGCTACAGTAGGCATGTGCGTGCGTGCTACAGTAGGCATGTGCGTGCGTGCTACAGTAGGCATGTGCGTGCGTGCTACAGTAGGCATGTGCGTGCGTGCTGCAGTAGGCATGTGCGTGCGTGCTACAGTAGGCATGTGCGTGCGTGCTACAGTAGGCATGTGCGTGCGTGCTGCAGTAGGCATGTGCGTGCGTGCTACAGTAGGCATGTGCGTGCGTGCTGCAGTAGGCATGTGCGTGCGTGCTGCAGTAGGCATGTGCGTGCGTGCTACAGTAGGCATGTGCGTGCGTGCTGCAGTAGGCATGTGCGTGCGTGCTACAGTAGGCATGTGCGTGCGTGCTACAGTAGGCATGTGCGTGCGTGCTGCAGTAGGCATGTGCGTGCGTGCTACAGTAGGCATGTGCGTGCGTGCTGCAGTAGGCATGTGCGTGCGTGCTACAGTAGACATGTGCGTGCGTGCTACAGTAGGCATGTGCGTGCGTGCTACAGTAGGCATGTGCGTGCGTGCTACAGTAGGCATGTGCGTGCGTGCTGCAGTAGGCATGTGCGTGCGTGCTACAGTAGGCATGTGCGTGCGTGCTACAGTAGGCATGTGCGTGCGTGCTACAGTAGGCATGTGCGTGCGTGCTACAGTAGGCATGTGCGTGCGTGCTACAGTAGGCATGTGCGTGCGTGCTGCAGTAGGCATGTGCGTGCGTGCTACAGTAGGCATGTGCGTGCGTGCTACAGTAGGCATGTGCGTGCGTGCTGCAGTAGGCATGTGCGTGCGTGCTACAGTAGGCATGTGCGTGCGTGCTGCAGTAGGCATGTGCGTGCGTGCTGCAGTAGGCATGTGCGTGCGTGCTACAGTAGGCATGTGCGTGCGTGCTGCAGTAGGCATGTGCGTGCGTGCTACAGTAGGCATGTGCGTGCGTGCTACAGTAGGCATGTGCGTGCGTGCTGCAGTAGGCATGTGCGTGCGTGCTACAGTAGGCATGTGCGTGCGTGCTACAGTAGGCATGTGCGTGCGTGCTACAGTAGGCATGTGCGTGCGTGCTACAGTAGGCATGTGCGTGCGTGCTACAGTAGGCATGTGCGTGCGTGCTGCAGTAGGCATGTGCGTGCGTGCTACAGTAGGCATGTGCGTGCGTGCTACAGTAGGCATGTGCGTGCGTGCTGCAGTAGGCATGTGCGTGCGTGCTACAGTAGGCATGTGCGTGCGTGCTGCAGTAGGCATGTGCGTGCGTGCTGCAGTAGGCATGTGCGTGCGTGCTACAGTAGGCATGTGCGTGCGTGCTGCAGTAGGCATGTGCGTGCGTGCTACAGTAGGCATGTGCGTGCGTGCTACAGTAGGCATGTGCGTGCGTGCTGCAGTAGGCATGTGCGTGCGTGCTACAGTAGGCATGTGCGTGCGTGCTACAGTAGGCATGTGCGTGCGTGCTGCAGTAGGCATGTGCGTGCGTGCTACAGTAGGCATGTGCGTGCGTGCTGCAGTAGGCATGTGCGTGCGTGCTGCAGTAGGCATGTGCGTGCGTGCTACAGTAGGCATGTGCGTGCGTGCTGCAGTAGGCATGTGCGTGCGTGCTACAGTAGGCATGTGCGTGCGTGCTACAGTAGGCATGTGCGTGCGTGCTGCAGTAGGCATGTGCGTGCGTGCTACAGTAGGCATGTGCGTGCGTGCTGCAGTAGGCATGTGCGTGCGTGCTACAGTAGACATGTGCGTGCGTGCTACAGTAGGCATGTGCGTGCGTGCTACAGTAGGCATGTGCGTGCGTGCTACAGTAGGCATGTGCGTGCGTGCTGCAGTAGGCATGTGCGTGCGTGCTACAGTAGGCATGTGCGTGCGTGCTACAGTAGGCATGTGCGTGCGTGCTGCAGTAGGCATGTGCGTGCGTGCTACAGTAGGCATGTGCGTGCGTGCTGCAGTAGGCATGTGCGTGCGTGCTGCAGTAGGCATGTGCGTGCGTGCTACAGTAGGCATGTGCGTGCGTGCTGCAGTAGGCATGTGCGTGCGTGCTACAGTAGGCATGTGCGTGCGTGCTACAGTAGGCATGTGCGTGCGTGCTGCAGTAGGCATGTGCGTGCGTGCTACAGTAGGCATGTGCGTGCGTGCTACAGTAGGCATGTGCGTGCGTGCTGCAGTAGGCATGTGCGTGCGTGCTACAGTAGGCATGTGCGTGCGTGCTGCAGTAGGCATGTGCGTGCGTGCTGCAGTAGGCATGTGCGTGCGTGCTACAGTAGGCATGTGCGTGCGTGCTGCAGTAGGCATGTGCGTGCGTGCTACAGTAGGCATGTGCGTGCGTGCTACAGTAGGCATGTGCGTGCGTGCTGCAGTAGGCACGTGCGTGCGTGCTACAGTAGGCATGTGCGTGCGTGCTGCAGTAGGCATGTGCGTGCGTGCTACAGTAGACATGTGCGTGCGTGCTACAGTAGGCATGTGCGTGCGTGCTACAGTAGGCATGTGCGTGCGTGCTACAGTAGGCATGTGCGTGCGTGCTACAGTAGGCATGTGCGTGCGTGCTACAGTAGGCATGTGCGTGCGTGCTACAGTAGGCATGTGCGTGCGTGCTACAGTAGGCATGTGCGTGCGTGCTACAGTAGGCATGTGCGTGCGTGCTACAGTAGGCATGTGCGTGCGTGCTGCAGTAGGCATGTGCGTGCGTGCTACAGTAGGCATGTGCGTGCGTGCTACAGTAGGCATGTGCGTGCGTGCTACAGTAGGCATGTGCGTGCGTGCTGCAGTAGGCATGTGCGTGCGTGCTACAGTAGGCATGTGCGTGCGTGCTGCAGTAGGCATGTGCGTGCGTGCTGCAGTAGGCATGTGCGTGCGTGCTACAGTAGGCATGTGCGTGCGTGCTGCAGTAGGCATGTGCGTGCGTGCTGCAGTAGGCATGTGCGTGCGTGCTACAGTAGGCATGTGCGTGCGTGCTGCAGTAGGCATGTGCGTGCGTGCTACAGTAGGCATGTGCGTGCGTGCTACAGTAGGCATGTGCGTGCGTGCTGCAGTAGGCATGTGCGTGCGTGCTGCAGTAGGCATGTGCGTGCGTGCTGCAGTAGGCATGTGCGTGCGTGCTGCAGTAGGCATGTGCGTGCGTGCTACAGTAGGCATGTGCGTGCGTGCTGCAGTAGGCATGTGCGTGCGTGCTACAGTAGGCATGTGCGTGCGTGCTACAGTAGGCATGTGCGTGCGTGCTGCAGTAGGCATGTGCGTGCGTGCTACAGTAGGCATGTGCGTGCGTGCTGCAGTAGGCATGTGCGTGCGTGCTACAGTAGACATGTGCGTGCGTGCTACAGTAGGCATGTGCGTGCGTGCTGCAGTAGGCATGTGCGTGCGTGCTGCAGTAGGCATGTGCGTGCGTGCTGCAGTAGGCATGTGCGTGCGTGCTACAGTAGGCATGTGCGTGCGTGCTACAGTAGGCATGTGCGTGCGTGCTACAGTAGGCATGTGCGTGCGTGCTGCAGTAGGCATGTGCGTGCGTGCTGCAGTAGGCATGTGCGTGCGTGCTGCAGTAGGCATGTGCGTGCGTGCTGCAGTAGGCATGTGCGTGCGTGCTACAGTAGGCATGTGCGTGCGTGCTACAGTAGGCATGTGCGTGCGTGCTGCAGTAGGCATGTGCGTGCGTGCTGCAGTAGGCATGTGCGTGCGTGCTGCAGTAGGCATGTGCGTGCGTGCTACAGTAGGCATGTGCGTGCGTGCTACAGTAGGCATGTGCGTGCGTGCTACAGTAGGCATGTGCGTGCGTGCTACAGTAGGCATGTGCGTGCGTGCTACAGTAGGCATGTGCGTGCGTGCTACAGTAGGCATGTGCGTGCGTGCTACAGTAGGCATGTGCGTGTGTGCTACAGTAGGCATGTGCGTGTGTGCTGCAGTAGGTATGCGCGTATGTGCTACAGTAGGCATGCGCGTATGTGCTACAGTAGGCATGCGCGTATGTGCTACAGTAGGCATGAGCGAAACATAAACACAAACGTGCTAGGGTCGAACACATACCGCACCAGTGGTTTATGCCCATATGTGCGTGTGAATATGTGCGCGTGAATATGTGCGCGTGAATATGTGCGTGTGAACATGTGCATTGAGCATGTGCGTGTGACCATGTGTGTGTGAACATGTGCGTGTGAACGTGTGCGAATTTGCTGTTGTGTCAGCATGTACGCATGTGCTGCTGTGTCAACATATGTGCTGCTGTGTTAACATGTGCCTATGTGTCATCAATGTATGTGCCTGTGTGCAATCGTGTCAGCGTGTATGCGAAGGTGTGCATGTGTGTGTATATGTGTGACAGTGCATCCATATGTGGCATGCGGCATGGTAGAAACTTAGGTTAATCGAACGCGTGCGTTGCACATAGACTGGGTAATGGGCACAGAAGGGCAACATGAAGATCCCACGTCTCTGTCCTGTGCCATCCAATACGGCACACCGATCTCTGCATGTGCTTCACATGAAAGGCACAGCATTGGCTGGTTGGCTGGTGGTGGAGAACGGTTCACATGAAAGGCACAGCATTGGCTGGTTGGCTGGTGGTGGAGAACGGTTCACATGAAAGGCACAGCATTGGCTGGTTGGCTGGTGGTGGAGAACGGTTCACATGAAAGGCACAGCATTGGCTGGTTGGCTGGTGGTGGAGAACGGTTCACATGAAAGGCACAGCATTGGCTGGCTGGTCTGGCGTTGGTGGGGAGGAACAGGTCAACGTGGTCAACGCAAGTCAACCCAAAGTTCCCCCTTCTATCCCATCCGCCTCTCCCTTTCAGGTTGTACGCGCGGCGCCACGGGTACCGAATGGTGGTGGAGAACGGATCCAAGTACACTCCGGACAGACACCCGTCGTGGTTCAAGGTGAGGGGGACAGACACCCGTCGTGGTTCAAGGTGAGGGGGACAGACACCCGTCGTGGTTCAAGGTGAGGGGGACAGACACCCGTCGTGGTTCAAGGTGAGGGGGACAGACACCCGTCGTGGTTCAAGGTGAGGGGGACAGACACCCGTCGTGGTTCAAGGTGAGGGGGACAGACACCCGTCGTGGTTCAAGGTGAGGGGGACAGACACCCGTCGTGGTTCAAGGTGAGGGGGACAGACACCCGTCGTGGTTCAAGGTGAGGGGGACAGACACCCGTCGTGGTTCAAGGTGAGGGGGACAGACACCCGTCGTGGTTCAAGGTGAGGGGGACAGACACCCGTCGTGGTTCAAGGTGAGGGGGACAGACACCCGTCGTGGTTCAAGGTGAGGGGGACAGACACCCGTCGTGGTTCAAGGTGAGGGGGACAGACACCCGTCGTGGTTCAAGGTGAGGGGGACAGACACCCGTCGTGGTTCAAGGTGAGGGGGACAGACACCCGTCGTGGTTCAAGGTGAGGGGGACAGACACCCGTCGTGGTTCAAGGTGAGGGGGACAGACACCCGTCGTGGTTCAAGGTGAGGGCTGCGCACCCAGGCTATGGGGCACCACACACTACTCGCTCTGCCTTTCCTCACCACCCTCGCATCTTCTTTCCAGTGCGTGCTGTAAACCGCCCGTACTTTCTGCATCTGTGTGTGGCACTCCCGGACGCCAGTGTCAGTGCTTTCCTCACCTTCACCAGTGAGCTGCCACCAGTGAGCTGCCACCAGTGAGCTGCCACCAGTGAGCTGCCACCAGTGAGCTCGCACGCACCAGGGCATGCCGTGCGCCGCACGACTCCTCGCGCTCATCAATGCTCGTGTGAGCATCCAACCACCTCTAGCCGCCTGGAGAAAATGTTCTCTCATTGGCTGCGCCCCCTGCCCCCCTGCTCCCCTGATCTTCGGCCCCCCTGCATGGCCTGCACACCTGGCAAGCAGGTGCGGTTGCTCACTCCTCACGCCCATTAATGCAAGCATGAGCGCCAACCATCTTCTACTCACCCCCCGCCCCCCTGGCCTACTGCAGGTGCCGTTCCTGCAGTCACAGCTGGCGTGTTGCTGCGAGTGGGCCTTCTTCCTCGACTCAGACGCCTACATGCGCATGGACCACCACCGCCTCTCCATCCCCACCTGGATCCAATCCATCAACCAACCTGTGAGTTTTGAGTTGACTCAAAAGTTACATGCGCATACGCTTCGTCTCAACCCTGCAACAGCCTATTATTCTCTCTGAGATCAAGTGTTTTTTACTCTAATGCTTAGAAACATCTGCGCTCCTATTCTCTTGAACTAAGGATGTGAGCAAGAAACTAAATGTGGTTGATGCTTCTTCTCCCCACCCCTCCTCTCCCCTCTTCACCCCTTCTCACCACTGCCCTATTTCGAAAGATGCCACTTTGGAAAACTCTAGCGGTCATATGCAGATTCTAGCGGTCATATGCATATTCTAGCGGTCATATGCATATTCTAGCGGTCATATGCATATTCTAGCGGTCATATGCATATTCTCGCAAACCTGCCATTGTGCATTGGTCTGAAGAAGGCTTGTACGCCGAAACCGGTCACCACCGTTTTTAAAACACACTACTTTGTTTACAAAGAGCACTCTGCTATCTAACATGCACAGGTGTTGAATCCTTAAAGTTGATGGCATTGGCACGTATCAACATGATGGCACATATCGACATGTGGCACGTATCGACATGTGGCACGTATCGACATGTGGCACGTATCGACATGTGGCACGTATCGACATGTGGCACGTATCGACATGTGGCACGTATCAACATGTGGCACGTATCGACATGTGGCACGTATCGACATGATGGCACGTATCGACATGTGGCACGTATCGACATGATGGCACGTATCGACATGTGGCACGTATCGACATGTGGCACGTATCGACATGTGGCACGTATCGACATGTGGCACGTATCGACATGTGGCACGTATCGACTTGTGGCACGTATCGACATGTGGCACGTATCGACATGATGGCACGTATCGACATGATGGCACGTATCGACATAATGGCACGTATCGACATGATGGCACGTATCGACATGATGGCACGTATCGACATGATGGCACGTTTCGACATGTGGCACGTATCGACATGTGGCACGTATCGACATGTGGCACGTATCGACATGTGGCACGTATCGACATGTGGCACGTATCGACATGTAACACATATCAACATGTGGCATGTATCGACATGTGGCACGTATCGACATGTGGCACGTATCGACATGTGGCACGTATCGACATGTGGCACGTATCGACATGTGGCACGTATCGACTTGTGGCACGTATCGACATGTGGCACGTATCGACACGATGGCACGTATCGACACGATGGCACGTATCGACATGATGGCACGTATCGACATGATGGCACGTATCGACATGATGGCACGTATCGACATGTGGCACGTATCGACATGTGGCACGTATCGACATGTGGCACGTATCGACATGTGGCACGTATCGACATGTGGCACGTATCGACATGTGGCACGTATCGACATGTAACACATATCAACATGTGGCATGTATCGACATGTGGCACGTATCGACATGTGGCACGTATCGACATGTGGCACGTATCGACATGTGGCACGTATCGACATGTGGCACGTATCGACATGTGGCACGTATCGACTTGTGGCACGTATCGACATGTGGCACGTATCGACATGATGGCACGTATCGACATGATGGCACGTATCGACATAATGGCACGTATCGACATGATGGCACGTATCGACATGTGGCACGTATCGACATGTGGCACGTATCGACATGTGGCACGTATCGACATGTGGCACGTATCGACATGTGGCACGTATCGACATGTGGCACGTATCGACATGATGGCACGTATCGACATGTGGTACGTATCGACTTGTGGCATGTATCGACATGTGGCACGTATCGACATGATGGCACGTATCGACATGATGGCACGTATCGACATGATGGCTCGTATCGACATGATGGCACGTATCGACATGTGGCACGTATCGACACGATGGCACGTATCGACATGATGGCACGTATCGACATGATGGCACGTATCGACATGTGGCACGTATCGACATGATGGCACGTATCGACATGTGGCACGTATCGACATGTGGCACGTATCGACATGTGGCACGTATCGACATGTGGCACGTATCGACATGTGGCACGTATCGACTTGTGGCACGTATCGACATGATGGCACGTATCGACATGATGGCACGTATCGACATGTGGCACGTATCGACATGTGGCACGTATCGACATGATGGCACGTATCGACATGATGGCACGTTTCGACATGTGGCACGTATCGACATGTGGCACGTATCGACATGTGGCACGTATCGACATGTGGCACGTATCGACATGTGGCACGTATCGACATGTAACACATATCAACATGTGGCATGTATCGACATGTGGCACGTATCGACATGTGGCACGTATCGACATGTGGCACGTATCGACATGTGGCACGTATCGACATGTGGCACGTATCGACTTGTGGCACGTATCGACATGTGGCACGTATCGACACGATGGCACGTATCGACACGATGGCACGTATCGACATGATGGCACGTATCGACATGATGGCACGTATCGACATGATGGCACGTATCGACATGTGGCACGTATCGACATGTGGCACGTATCGACATGTGGCACGTATCAACATGTGGCACGTATCGACATGTGGCACGTATCGACATGTGGCACGTATCGACATGTAACACATATCAACATGTGGCATGTATCGACATGTGGCACGTATCGACATGTGGCACGTATCGACATGTGGCACGTATCGACATGTGGCACGTATCGACATGTGGCACGTATCGACTTGTGGCACGTATCGACATGTGGCACGTATCGACACGATGGCACGTATCGACATGATGGCACGTATCGACATGATGGCACGTATCGACATGATGGCACGTATCGACATGATGGCACGTATCGACATGTGGCACGTATCGACATGTGGCACGTATCGACATGTGGCACGTATCGACATGTGGCACGTATCGACATGTGGCACGTATCGACATGTGGCACGTATCGACATGATGGCACGTATCGACATGTGGTACGTATCGACTTGTGGCACGTATCGACATGTGGCACGTATCGACATGATGGCACGTATCGACATGATGGCACGTATCGACATGATGGCTCGTATCGACATGATGGCACGTATCGACATGTGGCACGTATCGACACGATGGCACGTATCGACATGATGGCACGTATCGACATGATGGCACGTATCGACATGTGGCACGTATCGACATGATGGCACGTATCGACATGTGGCACGTATCGACATGTGGCACGTATCGACATGATGGCACGTATCGACATGATGGCACGTATCGACATGTGGCACGTATCGACATGATGGCACGTATCGACATGTGGCACGTACCGACATGTGGCACGTATCGACATGTGGCACGTATCGACATGTGGCACGTACCGACATGTGGCACGTATCGACATGTGGCACGTATCGACATGTGGCACGTATCGACATGTGGCACGTATCGACATGATGGCACGTATCGACATGTGGCACGTATCGACATGTGACACGTATCGACATGTGGCACGTATCGACATGTGGCACGTATCGACATGTGGCACGTATCGACATGATGCACGTATCGACATGATGGCACGTATCGACATGATGGCACGTATCGACATGATGGCACGTATCGACATGTGGCACGTATCGACATGTGGCACGTATCGACATGTGGCACGTATCGACATGTGGCGCGTATCGACATGTGGCACGTATCGACATGTGGCACGTATCGAGATGTGGCACGTATCGACATGTGGTACGTATCGACATGTGGCACGTATCGACAAGTGGCACGTATCGACATGATGGCACGTATCGACATGTGGCACGTATCGACATGTGGCACGTATCGACATGTGGCACGTATCGACATGTGGCACGTATCGACATGTGGCACGTATCGACATGATGGCACGTATCGACATGAGGGCACGTATCGACATGATGGCACGTATCGACATGTGGCACGTATCGAAATGTGGCACGTATCGACATGTGGCACGTATCGACATGTGGCACGTATCGACATGTGGCACGTATCGACATGTGGCACGTATCGACATGTGGCACGTATCGACATGTGGGACGTATCGACATGTGGCACGTATCGACATGATGGCACGTATCGACATGATGGCACGTATCGAAATGTGGCACGTATCGACATGTGGCACGTATCGACATGTGGCACGTATCGACATGTGGCACGTATCGAAATGTGGCACGTATCGACATGTGGCACGTATCGACATGTGGCACGTATCGACATGTGGTACGTATCGACATGTGGCACGTATCGACATGTGGCACGTATCGAAATGTGGCACGTATCGACATGTGGCACGTATCGACATGATGGCACGTATCGACATGTGGCACGTATCGACATGTGGCACGTATCGACATGATGGCACGTATCGACATGATGGCACGTATCGACATGTGGCACGTATCGACATGATGGCACGTATCGACATGTGGCACGTACCGACATGTGGCACGTATCGACATGTGGCACGTATCGACATGTGGCACGTACCGACATGTGGCACGTATCGACATGTGGCACGTATCGACATGTGGCACGTATCGACATGTGGCACGTATCGACATGATGGCACGTATCGACATGTGGCACGTATCGACATGTGACACGTATCGACATGTGGCACGTATCGACATGTGGCACGTATCGACATGTGGCACGTATCGACATGATGCACGTATCGACATGATGGCACGTATCGACATGATGGCACGTATCGACATGATGGCACGTATCGACATGTGGCACGTATCGACATGTGGCACGTATCGACATGTGGCACGTATCGACATGTGGCGCGTATCGACATGTGGCACGTATCGACATGTGGCACGTATCGACATGTGGCACGTATCGACATGTGGTACGTATCGACATGTGGCACGTATCGACAAGTGGCACGTATCGACATGATGGCACGTATCGACATGTGGCACGTATCGACATGTGGCACGTATCGACATGTGGCACGTAT